TGTGTTTAAAATGGCGGAAAGTATTTTCCGCTTGTTTGACAAGAAGGTCTCAGTGTGATTCTTTTTTCTTTCCAATTTGAAGGCGAGAATTTATACTTTTTCTTGATTTTTGTGGTTTTTCCTTTTTTTTTTGTATTTTTTTTTTTTTATCTGAGGGAATAAGTTTCTCCCGCTGTTTCGAAAATCATCACATACTCTTTTGTTTTCAAATTGAGAACACCGGAATATATATATATATATATATATATATATATATATATATATATATATATATATATATATATATATATATATATACACACGCTCGGTTGTAACAATAAAATTCATCCAAATCGTGTAACAGCATTGGTTAATTGTGCATACCTCAAATTGTTTAATATCTAAAAACCACTAACCTAATTGAATTACTTTTTTCCAGGTTTTCAGATAAGACGTTTAGCCATCTTGGCACCATTTGTCGTAAGAATCACTGAAAAGCACATTGAGTTATTCAGCTAGAAAGAGAACAGGTTAAGATCGTTTTGTGTCAGCCGCACTATGTCTTCCAAACTGAGCAATAGTGAGAGGAAAAAGATCACTAAGGCTTTCACTAATAGTATCAACATTGATACTCTGATTTCCACCTTCAAAGTCAATACGAGAACCGTTAAGAGGACTGTGAATAACTTTAAAATAGAAGGAACAGTGAAAAAGAAACTTGGATCAGGAGGTCACAACAAAAAGAGGGATCATCATTTCCAACAAGACTGGAACCTGCGTCTCCCTGGCCGAAGGGAAACGTCATTAAACCAGAAGAAGAAGGGACTTGAAGCAACAGAAACCAAGAGAACTGAACAGTTATGTAGTATCTGTTCTCCTATATGCCAGTGTATGCTTGATAATCTCCACCCAAGTGAAGAAACGACTTGAAGCAACAGAAGTGTGGTTCTACAGAAGGATGCTGAGAATACCATGAACCGAATATATGAGCAATGACGAAACATTAACATTAGAAAGAGATAGTTGAAATTTCTAGCGTATATAATGAGAAAAGAGGGCTTGGAAAATTTGATACTCACAAGACACATTGAAGGCAGGAGGGATGAATTAAAAAAAACGTATAACCTACCTCGAGAGGTTGGGTAAAGGGATGGCGGAACAAAATTTACGTGACAAAAATTATATTATTCGGTCAACCCGTGGTACGGTTTTCAGGCCAAAGGTGACGCAAGCTGGGATCATCTCATCCAGACTAATGACATCAATAAGTCACCTTCATGACAAATAGACCATGGTAAAATTCGAACCCAGATCTCATATTCGAAAAAGCCTTGGCGTCTCTTTTACCGTGACCGGTAAAAATTGCCTTGATGCCTCTTTTACCAGAACCGGCAAAATAGCCTTGGTGTCTATTTTAAAGGAACCTGCAAAATAACCTTGTTTCTATTTTACCGTGACCGGCAAAATAGCCTTGCTGTCTCTTTTACCAGAACCGTCAAAATAGCTTTGGTTTTTATTTTACCGTGTAGATTTTTGGTATTTCCTGTTAAGGTATATTCTTTCAGGGTATAGGGTATCATGGCACTCCACAACTTCCATTTCTTTATTAACTGTGAATTAACACAATTTTCTAGAAAAGATGATAGATTGGCTTTCAATTTGCCATGTTTTGGAATATTGAAGGTTTTTTTTTAAGCTAGGTCCTTTCAGATCAAAGGCGATCATGGCTCTCCACATATTCTGTTTCTTTATCACCTGTGAATTGCCATGACTTCTTGGGACTTGTTTAACGTTAACGCCTTCGAAGTTTACAGTTCAGAGTAATCCTTTCCCTACACTGGCGGCCACATCAGTCTACAGTTGTTTAACCCATAGTGCGGGGAAATACAATGTTTAAATAACTAAGCGAGTTTTCCTTCTTTGGATCATGCCCCTTCAGGACGTGGGAAGTCATCGCTCTCCACATTTTCCTATCGCTTGTAGCTATTAGTAACTTTGCGTTTTTGCCATCACTCCGTCTTCTTTGTCCTACCGGCCATTCACAAAAGCTGGTCCGGTAGGTGACCCGTTGCCTCTTCTCGTTCCCTTTGCCTTCGATATGCCCTCTGAGTGTCAAATTCTCCAAGCCCACTTTCTTGTTTATGCGTCCAAGAAATTTCAGCTTTGTCATTCTGTTTCTCAGTGAAATTGTCCTTTTTTTACCATTTTCCTTAAACCTCGTTGTTCACGTGCTCCACTCTTTGTATATCAGTATCCTTCTGTAGAACACACAATTCTGCTGACTTCAGTATTCTCTTCACTTGTAGGAATATTGTGCAGCATTTACTGACAAATAGGAGGACTAATATAGCATAGCTAATCAACGCTCTTTTCTTTCCTTGTACCAGACATAAATTAACGTCTTATTCATCAAGAAATACTTTATTTTTCATAATATATTTTCTAAAATAATAAAAATAATTATAATAATGGTTTAATTGTATTTTTCTCTTTATTATTGTAAAATAGAACCATAAGATGTCTGTTATTTGTTCGCTCTGAATGTTCGTTGCTTCCTTTCTATAATATCCAGATCGAAAGGATAAACGACTTTTCTTTGCCTAACAAAACAGACGGGGAATTCTTTTGTGCAAGAAACAATAATTCTCTGAAAATAAACACTCTTTGTGAATTGTGAAACAAGTTATTCTGCTCCCAATCTAGATCAAGCCCTTCCATCGGAATTCTGGTGTTAGATTTTTATTTTAATAATCATGACTTTCTTTGGATCATTTTTCTTCCGTTTATTGGAATCTAATCTTTCTTTTATTTCTCGTTTCCATTTTCTTTTTCTTTTTTTTTCATGTTTGGGCGGGGGTCAACCTTTCGTTTCTTTCATTCGTCCGCTTTTCTTTTCCGGATTCTTTCAGCTAAACAATCTTCTTCTTCTTCCTCCATTTTGATTTCTCCTTCTTCTTAATATCATTAAACTTTGCTTACGCTGAATAGAGGAATTAACAAAACAGATCTTCATCAGAAGCAGGGATTAGGGTAATCCGCATTACAAATACTATAGATGGATTAATTCTTTTTCTACATGCTTATGAACCATTTGTCGTTTATTTAAAGCCAGAAAATAGACACTATTTACATTATTCGGACGATTGTCCTCATCTTTGTTGCCATATTTATTACAACGTTTCGACCTTTCAGTATCTGTCTATATTTCTGAGATGAGGTATTATGTACACTATTTACATTATTCGGACTATTGCCCTCATCTTTGTCGCCATATTTATTACAACGTTTCGGCCCTTCAGTATCTGTCTATATTTCTGATATGAGGTATTATGTACATTATTTACATTATTCGGACTATTGTCCTCATCTTTGTAGCCATATTTATTACAACGTTTCGGCCGTTGTACGCTCCGGCCTTCTTCAGGTGGTTGGAATGTCGAACTGAACCCTTTATTTCACTCACTGGCGTAGACTATTCTAGTTCCACGTGCCATGTTTTTAATGGATATCAGTTATCAGTTATCTCCAGTTTATTCCCCTCTCCAAGTTCTCCACGGCCAGTGGATAAAGGCGTTAGTTAGATCCAGTGACAGAGAGTGTGAGTTCAATACCCGGTTAAGTCTTTCTTGTTTTTATTCTCCATTTTTCCTTTGGTACTGCAATCAAGCTATCCGAGATTTTTCCAAACGAGTACTACCATATATACATATATATATATATATATATATATATATATATATATATATATATATACACACACACACACACACACACATATATATATATATATATATATATATATATATATATATATATCGGATGTAACAGCAAAATTGTCCAAATTGTGTAACAGCAACATTTTCCAATTTTTAGATTAAGTTCTGAAACGTTGTATCTTAGAAATGATTAAATATATATTACTGGAATTCTCCGAGATTTTTATAATACTACTAGACCCTACTTTGAGTAAAACGGATGTATACATTACTCTCAATCTTAACAAAAGGTATTGTGATGAAATCGATCATAAACGAAAATGTCATGTTCATCATTAATTAACAATACCTAAGTATCGGAAGCTCATGAAGGAGTGAAATAAAGTTCAAATATGTACATACATATTATTCAAGAATCATTTTCCAACTTATTCACGATGTTCTTTGCCCTCTCTAACCTTCTAATTTTCTGTTCTGGAGCAATATGTTGTCTCACACGTTTCACGTATGATTTTATTTTCAAGTTTTTTTCACTGTTCTTTGGACTATCATAGCTGAAACTCCTCTCACATGTGCCAAACGTCTTGTGAATTGAGTTGGATCTTTTCTAATTGATCTATTTAGCTCTAAGTTGATCCCACTTGTTGGTGTGTTCTCCTGATTCAGTTTTCCTATTTACTGTTCCTTTTATTTTAAACTTATTCACCATTTTTTTTTTATCTTTCTTGAATGGACAATGAAGACGAAAGCCAGACTATGGCCTGAATGATATTTTTCCTCTCACCATTGCTCAATTGGAAAGATATAATTGCACTGAGACAAAACGATTTTACCCTCTTCTCTTTCTAAAGAGTTTTTCAGTGATTCTTACGAAATTTAGTGCCAAGATGGCTAAACGTCTCATCTTTAGTGCCAAGATGGCTAAACGTCTCATCTGAATAACTGGAAAAAGGAAACTCAGTTGGTTCAGTGTTTATTTTTTATTTTTTTAGATATTAAACGTTTTGTGGAATGGACAATTATCCCATGCTGTTACATATATATATATATATATATATATATATATATGTGTGTGTGTGTGTGTGTGTGTGTGTGTGTGTGTGTGTGTGTGTGTGTGTGTATTATACGCGATACTTATTAGAAAGCACTCAATATGAAAATAGCTGAATGTACAGCTGAAAGTGCTCAGAAAAAAGAACATTTGGACAGTGCATATATATATATATATATATATATATATAGGCATGTTAAAAATCGCTACACTGCTAGAATATATACATACATATATATATATATATATATATA